TATAGTAATAAAAACTCCATATGGTTATTATAAGAATGAAAATAACAAATGTAAAACTGCTGGCACAATGCCTACCACAGAATGAGCCTTCAATAAAATGTTAATCATTATTATTTATGTCTATGCAACCATCTGTATAATTTCCCAGATATCCCAGAATTAGAAGGTTTACTCATTCCACCTGTAAGTTAAATGGGTTACTGTATATTATCTATATGTAAGTTTTTTGATAGTGAGAGCCTGATTGAAGACAAACAGGAGAACTAGTCTAAGATACTAAATGTACATCAAGGCCTGATGTTGAGATCATCAGTGTGAAGTGTAAGATTTCAGCCTGTGTTCCATCTTCACTTTCTACATTCACATTTGAAGATTATTTTAGATACAGCAGCCAGTAACTGAGCTACTATTTTTTTTTATTTTATGTGTATGCATATATTGCCTGCATGTAGGTAGGTGCATTCGTGTCATGCAATGCCCATGGAGGATAGAAGAGGCTGTCAGATCCCCTGGAACTGGAGTTACAGACAGTTGTTAGCTGCCATGTGGGTGCTGGGATTTGAACCCGTCTCTTCTGCAAGAACAGCCAGTGCTCTTAACCGCTGAGCCATCTCTCAAGCCCCTGAGCTACTATTTTTCCCATCTTTGGATGCTTGGTTTGGTTCTCAATAGGTGAATCCAAAAAATAAATGTTCATCAAGAAAGCATGATGAACAGGTGGACAGAAAATCAATAAGGATATAAAAAATTACAACTCTGTCAGCCAAGTAAGCCTAATTGGCATTTACAGGACACTCTTGCCAATACCAGAGAACTGCGCACTTCTGCCGAAACACGTGAAGTACATTTACCAACAGATAATTTCTAGGCCATGAAACAAATCATAAAAATCTAAGAAGTGTCAAGTCATACAGTGTATGTTCCTTGACCACAATAAAAGTAAGTCAGAGTTCTCCACACTGCTTTCCATAATGGTTGCATGAGTTTGCAATCCCACCAGCACTGAACGGTTGCTCTTCTTTCCCACATCCTCTCCAACATTTGGCATCATTTGTTCTCTTGATCTTAGTCAGTCTGACTCAGGTAAAATGAAATCTTAAAGTGGTTTTAATTTTCATTTTCCAAATTACTAACTATGTTGAACACTTTTTAAGTTGTTTCTTCGCCATCTTTTTTTCTTCTTTTGAGAAGTACCTGTTCAGATCCATAGCCCAACTTTTAATTGGGTCATTTATTTTTCTTGATTTTTTTGTTTTTTGAGTTCTTTATACATTCTGGATGTTAAACCTCTGTCAGATAAAGCTAAAAACCAACCTACCATATGATCTTGTTATACCACTCCTTGGCATATACCCAAAAGATTCATCCTATTGCAGAGATATTTTTACATCCATGTTTGTCAGTGCTCTTTTCACAATAGCTAAGAAATGGAAGCAAGAAAAGTGTTCCTGAATTGACCAGTGGATAGTGAAACTATGGTACATTTACACAATGGAGTTCTACTCAGTGATAAAGATGAAATCATGAAATTTGCAGGTAAATGGATGGAACTGGAAACAGTTATACTAGGTGAAGTAACAGACTCAGAAAACTAAATGGTGACTATTCTCCCTCCTTTGTGGATCCTAGCACCAAATTCTTACATGTGAGTATACGTCCTGATGTAACTACAAGAAATAGGAAAGTGGAAAGGAACCAGGGAGGTAAAGGGCAAGAAGGCACCTGAGAGATAAGAACAATAAAAAATTGGTGTTACCAAGGGCTACATGGCTAAAATGGGGGGATTTAAATGGGAGCGGGAGAGGGAGGGTTATACAAGGAACTACGAGGGTAAAGGGGAAGAAGGGACTCAAGAGAGGGGGGCCATAGGAGACAGGTATTATGAAGGGTGACATGGGGAAAATGGGAGTACTTTTAGTGGGGAGAGAAGAGGGAGGTTTAGAAAGGAAGAGAGAGAGGAGAGGTAAATAATGCTTAGCTCATGTGTAAAAAAGAGAAAAATGTATTAGTTCAAACCCTACTGAAAACTTCCACATACAATATCTCTCCATGAGTGCACATGCATAGCTGAAGGCTACATAGCAAGAAACAGTGCCAGACAGGAGAAACCTCCCCTTGAGTTGCTGGCCAGGGCTATCCAAGAGACTCCCAAAATTACACAGGCTATTGCCACAGCCCTTGATTGTCTCCCAGAACTTGAAGTTAAGACCCTATTGCTGAAGATAGGACATATTTAGGACACAGGATTAGGAGTAATGGAGCTGGAACTGACCTGGAAGCTGCCTCCCCTGAAAGCTAGCTCTCATACTTTTGGAGAGCACTATGCAAGCTGTTAAGAGAGAACATGGATCAAGTGTTCAACCCCAGAGTTAAACACTACAAACAATGACCAGCACAGCAACCTATATTGGGGCAGTAGTGGCACTTCTATCTTGGGAGTAATAAACAGCTACCTAATACAACTTAAAGTCCACTCATTGGGAGAAAACTCCTGTGTGGTGCTGTAAACATAGCCAAATACACATGACTGGAGAAGTCATGGATCTTAGAGAAAACCCCAAGGCTGTCACATCCCCAGACAAATATAATTTCTTACTATGTGCTAAATACGAATCCTTATATTTACAGACAAGTATGCCAGTCATCACTCATCAAGGAAGTTTCTTTTGCAACAGAGACTTTTACAGAGTTTCACAACTGGTCACACACAGATATTATGTCTGACCCTAAGTGACACAACTAAAATGGAACTTCTACACCTAAGGCTCACGGAACATAATGGAACGAGGGGTGGAGAGAATACTAAGGCATCTCTCAACTCTCTTCAATGAAGCTCCCTCATGCAACAGAGAACCATGAACACAAATGGACACAAATGGCCAAGAGATAGAGAAAAAGAGTTTGCAGAGTGTGGGTCCTTGAACAAGACTCCTATACTGAACTTTACCCACCCAGGGCTCAGGGACCATTGAGGAAGAGGCAGCAGAAAGATTGTTAAGAGCCAGGGGAGCAGGTGCATGCCTGTGGAAATAGTCCTTCAGGCTCCTGGGACCTTACAGCAATGGTGTCAGCATGCACAAAGACCCATGCAAACCCAAGCAGACAAAAACCAAGCATAAAACTGTGGAAATGGGTAGCAGACCCCAATCTTAGCTGAAGAGTTATTGGCAGCTGATTACTACTGGGTGAGGGAGAGCTGATCTTTAAGGGAGAGACTCTAGATAGGCTGACTAGACCCTAGTGAGTGAACTTGCACTGAGGGATGACTTGGTAAACATAACACAATGACAGAACATATGAAATCCAGTGGGGGGAGAGGGTACTATGAGATGGTGTCCAGGAGGAAAGGTGTATAAGATTAAGATGTTCTGTATGAAATAAAAAATTTACAAAATATGTAAGTCAGAAATAAACAATGGAAATTTTTCTGGAAAACCTCAAGTATTCAAAACCTGAATAACATACTCTGAATAACTGATGGTGAAGTTAAAAACTTAAATAGGAAATTATAAACCTACAGGTTAAAGAATTTTAAACTTCAATAAAAGTACTAAACTTTTTATGGATTCCCTAAGAAGAAAATTTAACAAAAAAATTCATAGAGTGAATGCTTAAATTAGTATTTTAAAAAACAATATCTGGGCTGGAGGAGTGGCTCTGCAGTTAATTGCACTGGATGTTCTAGCAGAAGACCTGGGCTTGTTTCCCAGTGCCCCCATGGCAGCTAACAACTGACTGTAACTCCAGTTCTAAGGGATCTTATGCCCTCTCTTCCAGCCTCCATGGGCACCGCACATATATGATGCACTTATGTTCAAGCAGGAAAATCCTTCATATACACAAAATAATAATAATTTTTAAATGCAATTTCAGTTCAGAACCTCAGCTTGTAACTTAAGAAACCAGAACATAGAGAACGG